GACTCACACATGGGGCAAGTTCTAGACTAATAAGGGATGGCATAGAGTACAACTAAAATCTCACCTCACACAATGCACATGACTTACTCAGGGCGGCTCAAACCCGACTCTCAAGTTAAAAACTAGCACAGTTATCATATAATCCAAACACTAGGAAGTAACAACAGGAGTCAACAAATGAGCCCAAGCGTAAAAATAAAGTCACATATATTCTCAAGGCATATAGTCACAAGAATCAAGAAGAAAGTACTCAGCATAAATGCTCCACCTCTAAGCCCCAATAAACCATGTCAATAACATAGACACTCAAGTTCTTCCCATTCCATTATCAGTTGAAAAATAGAAACAAAAAACCTTTTTGTATTTTTCTTTAGACTTTAAACCCTCAAGAAAACTGTCTAAGAAGTCCATCGTCGGGAAAAGTCCAAAACTTTTTGAAAACTCTACATAAAAAAACTACTACCCGGTTCAAAGAGTCACTTGGAATAGAACGTAGCCATAAGAAAAATCAGGAGGGATTATTTCTACCTAATTATTATTATTTTAATTTTTTTTGATTATTTTCAACACACATGAAATAAACACAACTAAAATAGCATTGGAAATCACACAAACAGTCTCTTCACCCCACACTTAAAATTGTGCATTGTCCCCAATGCACACCCAAAAATAGAAGACGGTAAAAGAAACTCCCTGGTAAGCTAAAGGTCGAAGCATTAGCAGTTCATGGGGTACTCAGACTTCTCCCAAGTTTGACCTTTGTGCGAGCACCCCACACTTAGTTCCAACCATATGGCTTGATGTTGTATCCTTCCAATAGCTTTTGCTTTCCATGCTCCTATAAAAAAAACGTCACTACAAAAATAATACAAACAAAAAAACTAAAAGTAAAAGAAAGCGGTAAAGTTGGGTTGCCTCCCAACAAGCGTCCGATTTAACGTCGCGGCACGACGTGAATCACTTTCTGCCTCTACCTTGAGCTTATGAATTGAACCCCTAATTTGGCTTCAAATTTTATACTATGCTCCAGGGATAGTGGAACAAATCTAATTGTCCCCAAAAAATAATATAGTATTCTGCACTTCTTGGCCTTTAAATGAGGTATGTAATCCTGTCTTTTTGGAATGAAAAATTCCAGAATGTAGGGACCTTGTTCCTCATTCCCTGATTCCTCAATTGGCTCGGATAATTTTATTTTCATATCATCATCCAAACACAATATGGAAAATTGCTTGGAGTGAGGACCAATGTGCTCAAATACATAAACTCCAGGACTTTCAATATCCTCAACACCAATGACAATAGAATCAACAAAATTTGTATCCTCACTATCCTTGGCTGACTCTAGCATCACATCTTCAATGAAAGTACAAGAGGGGGGGGGGGGATTGTTGACTATTTAAAATTTAGTCGACTAACACAAGTATTAGTTGACTGACCACAACTCAGAATGAAAGTAAGCAGTAAAAAAAGTAAACAACACACAACGATTTATACTGGTTCGGTACCGTTGTGGTACTTATATCCAGTTTTCCTTGGGTCACATGGGTTCCCTTAAGATCTTTGAATAAGTTACAATACTGATGGTTTTAACGCGTTCACCACCAACGAACAGTATCAACACTTAAGTTCAGAATAGTTGACACAACTCTCTTTTGTGTTCTAGATCTCCCTATCTTTTGAGACACTGATAATTAAGGATTACAGTGTTTGAACTAAGAAGTAGATAGACTTAGAATACAATGTGTGTAGTTGTGTAATCTTCTTCTTGAGGGATCAGCCTTCTTATAGGAGAGAAAAGAGCCGTTGAGTCTTTTGCAAAATCAGAGGCACAAGATCTTTAATTAAGGGATTTGACCCAAGGGGTGCCTCTTCGAATCTTGCTCTTTGACGAGCCCAGATTCGAATTTAACCTTCCTTGTCACAGCTTGATTCAAGGAGGACGTTTACGTCTGGATAGCTTAATTCACGAGCGCGATCTTCTTAATTAGAGAATCCATGGTTGGCAATCTGAGTTCCCTTGATTGAGGACGAGTCAATCTGCTTCCTTTGATTGATCATTAATGCAGTAACAACATCTTCATTCTTTCCTTACTTGCTATTTTGAATCCAATAGCAATCTTGCTGAGCATCTTCATTCTTTCCTTTTCGTTTGTCCTGTAAATATAACATAAAATAATATTTTCATCATTGAAACTTAAACTTAAACCTATCAATCTCCCCCTTTTTGATGATTACAATCAAGAAGGAGTAAACAAAGTAAAGTAAATTAAGATACTACCCTTTTAAGGAGTTGATCCCCCTGAGGTAGTTTCTCCCCCTGAGCTGATGCTTCCCTTGAGATTATGCTGTTCCTATATTCCCTCCTGAGTTGTTTACTCACATTTTTCTCCCCCTTTGACATCAATCAAAAAGGAAAGAGACATACAAAGAGCAAAATAGAACATAATGCACATACTAATAAAGTGGTTAGAGCAGTAGAGCCTTCAACAGAGGCTTAGTTAGTACAGACCAAAAAAGAATTGTCTAAAAGCAACCACCAACAAAAAACATAAGCAAAAAAAATTGTTTGCCATAACAGCACAACCAGAGGAATTAACTTCGTCCCAGAAAGTATTTGAGGGTATTGATCACTTTGGTGCAGAAGGAGTCATAGGAATTCTCAACATCCTTGACGAGTTTGTCCATCTTTTCACTCATGGAATTGAAAGCCTTGGTTCCTTGTCTCCTTATAGCTCCTATGTCAATCCGAAGGTTGGCCACATCTGTACCTGTCTCCTTCGTGACATCCTTGATCTTATCTACCTGTTCTTTTATCTCCGCAAGCAACAGCTTGACTCAAGGTAATGTTGAATTTGTTGAAGATTCAGGGAGGTAGTCGACTGAGAAGCTGGTTGATCAATCGGGGTATCAACAGGAGTTGGAGCACTTTCAACCTTGGCTCGCTTAACCCATCCATCATTAACCAGAGTGTACCCCATCATAGAAAAAACAGTCTTTGTGAGCACGTGATTTTTGCCCTATATGAATTACTCCTACAGAATCCCAAAGAAATAAATTTTTCTTTTAATTATTTGCCATTTTGGGAATTTTTGTGGAATTTTCTTAATTATTTGCATTTTTCTGTGCATGTTTAATTTTATTTAATTCATGAAAATACAAAAAAAAATACATTGCTTTTGCATTTAGGATTTAGTTTTATATTTTTTAGGTTAATTAGTAAATTAATTGTTTTATAAAAATAAAAAATCACAAAAATGACTCACGTTGCATTTTAGCTCTTAATTTTGAATTTTATAGTTTTTCTTTAAATTTAGGATTTAATTAATTATTGAAGATACTATGATGAGTAATTAGTTTAATTTGATAAGTTAATCTAGCTTAATAATTAATTTAGGTTTTAATTTTAAAAGAAAGGGAATTTGAAGTTTGAAAAAAGAAAAGGAAAAGGATTAAGAGGGCTGTTTTTGGGCCAAATTGTAACAGCCTAATCGATTTCCCCAAGACCCGTTCCGGCCGGCCCACACTCCACCCCAATACCCGGTCCAGACCCTCCAAGTATTAAGACAACTCGAACGATGTCGTTCTGAGTTCAGTAGCGTCCCAAGGATCCTGGCCCTTCGTCTTCCATCATCCAACGGCCAGGGAGGCTTCACTAAACTCGTATAAAATTGTCCAAAACAACCTAGGACCAAACCACTCCTCAATCTCTCTCGTCTCCGACCTAAACACTAGAGAACCCGCCGCCCTACTATCCCCAAGTCATCTCCGGCGGCGGCGTGGCCTAATCGACTCCAAATTCCTCCTCCACAATCCCCACACCCGATGGAACATGAATCCATCACCACATATCCTCAAATCCCCGCCAAATCGGATTAGTTTTGGATCTAAAAAGAAGAAGAAAAAGAAAATCTCCCCAAGTCTTCGAGTTCCTAAGAACGATTAGGGATGAAATTGGTATTGATCGTCTGTTCTCGACGAGAACATGCGATTGATGCCAATTTCGGGTCAAATCGAAGTCTGCCTGAGGTTTGCCAAGCCCTGTCCGTGTGACTATTTAGGTATCTCTATTCTTTTCTCATTCTTCTCCGTCTTTTGTTTTGTTCTCGTCCTCGTCTCCTTCTGATTCCTCTTTTTCTTTCTTGTTTTACTACTTTAAAGTCGTTCTGATTGCATGATTAGGATCGAGTCATTTCAGTGTATAATGTTTAGATTAATCTCTCTAATTAGTATTTGCTAGTTTTCTTTCTACTTCTTTTCTTTTTATTAGTTCTGCTTCGTATAAAGATTTTGTGTCTAAAATTCAGAAATGGAGTCATTTTGGTTTTCTTAGTTTGCTTTAGAAGTCATTGGCTTAAACCTGAACTTGGGCTCGCTAGATGCAAGAAGCCCAAAGAGCTGTTTGAAGCTCGGTGTTACAGAGGGCCCAAAGGCACTTGGGCAATCCGGTTCAAGGTTTAGTGTGAGGGTAATTAGTAAGTCTTTTAAGGGTATTTGGGGGAATTTAATAAGATGAATCCTTTTAAAACTGCCTGAAAATTTCCAGGAAAGTGGGGCTTGGGGTTGGTTTAGCAAGCAGACTTTAATCTTGGGGTTTAAAATGAAAGAATGAAAATTGGGGGAGGGGTAAATGGTAAAGCCTAAAACCAATTCTGTTGCCCTAAAGGTCCTCTATATAAGGCTAGTTATCAATAAAAATAGGCAGAGATCAGACCCAAAAAAATGGAGTAAACGGCTGAGAGATTTCAAGCAATATTCTCTGCACCTAAAGCCTTGGATATTCTGAAAATACAGCAGTCTTTTCTGCATCATTTCAACTTAAATTGCTGAAAATTGCTCTCTAGGTTCATTGTTAGGAGTAGATTAAAACTTTCAAAAGAATTTCTGGCTCATCTTGGTCCGAAAATGGTCTAGAAGAATTGAGTACTGCTGTTGTTGATGTGCTGAGCTGCTGTTACTGCTTAAAGTTCTCACTCATTTACTTTTATTTTGATTTCCAGGTATGCCTTGGCTCTTGAGTAACATATGGGGTGCAAAATGTGAAACCATGTAATTAGGTTGAAGATTTAATGACAATTGCTAGTTTTGTTTCTGAATAGCTGTTTGAGCCCTTTTGAATTTGTTTATGCTTTTATTAACTTAGCCTTACTATGTGTATTTCCTTCATATTACATTTCATCTTAAGGTTGGATTTGGGGTGTTAGTCTGTCGAGTTGGATGTATTTGCAGGAAGAACATCTCCTGTTGGTTTGTTGTTTACATGTGTCTGGTTTAAGAGTTGTTCATGTTTAGGATAATATGCATAAGTAGAGGAATATGAGTTCTGTTAGTTTGATATGTGAGTTCTGTGGGATTTTTCTGAAAAATGCTGCCTATGGTTATGGTTGAATACTCATCAGACTAGTTCATTCATTTTGTTTCTTTTAGCAAATCTGGTTTAGGCTTTGCTTCTCCCTTCAATCAGCCTACTGTTATGTTGATTTACCCTTTTATGGCCTGTAAAATGGCTCAGTTATTCAGCACTGCCTCGCTTATGTCCAAGCAATTTAAGTTTGTAAACTGCTTTCGATTTGATTCTTAGTTTAATTTTAGGCCTAAAGGTGTTCAAATTCAGCCTGGTGTTCACATCTTGTTGTTTTTTTAAATGATTTGAAAAATTGGAATGTTTGTTCAAATGAGTTAGCCGATGCTTGCTTTCTACTTCTGGGCTTACTCTTGAGCCCAGATTTCCTCAGCAGTGCTGCCACTATCGGGCATTGTATGCTGCAGTTTATTGGCATAATTGGGCTTGGATCTACAAGCCATTCAAAAGCAAGCATTGCTTTATTTCATTCATGGATTCGAATTAGGCCCAGCTTTTCCACTTTGGATAACCTGTCGAAGTTTAGCGTGAATTGAAACTGGTTGATTGATTAAATGTTTGGGGTATCTACTTCTGTTACCAATTGTCGAATTATCCTAATCTATAGGCCTTATTAATTAGATTGAGGTGTGCCATTTCAACAAAGTATACAATTTATGGCCCTCAAAACTAAATTTAGAACCCTTTTAATAGAATAATTCGAGGCGTGCCATGCCAAATAAAATCTCAAAACTCATGGCCCTCACTTAATTAATTTTTAACTCTTTAGAAATCGGGGTGTGCCATTAATTAAATTTTCCATGGCCCTGATAAGTGCATCTTATCTGATCTTAACCACATAATTTCTCTCATAAAAACATATAAATTATCTTGTTTCCTCCATATTCTTAACTTTATTTTGCAGGAATAATTATAGAAGAATTATTGTGCGCAACATGAAAAAAAATACAACAAAGAAATGTGAAATCAAAATAATGCACCAAGTCTCGATTTGCCATGATGAAATCTAAACTTAGAATTGCAGAATTCTCATCTCTGCAATGAGTCAAAATCTTGATTTGCCATTGAAATCTAGCACCAAATCGAGAATCCAAATTCTCATATCTGCAAATACAAAATATAGATTTGTCATGATGAAATCGACGAAATCTAAACTTAGAATGACGAATTCTCATATCTGCAAATGCAAAATCTAGATTTGCCGTGGAAATCTAGTACCAAATCCAAAAGTCATTATGAAACTTTCCTATATAAGAAGATGTTGCCCGATCAGAGAAGGGTATCAGAGTAGAGAGAAAGCTTAGAGCTAGAAGTCTGAATCCAAATTCTTCTCTGTTTTATTTCTTTTACTAGTATCGAGTTATCTTTTCTTTTAAATCACAATAGTGGTTTAGTTGTTGTTTCTAAATAAATTCCAGTGTAGGAAATTACTCTAGTTCCCGCTTTTAATTAAATAGGGGGAATTATTCTTCTTGAATATTTCTTTCTATTTTCTTATTTAATGGACATGAATATTTCCATTGTTAGTACTAGTTCCAGTATGGAGTAACTTTTCTTGTGTTGGGAGAAAGACGGATCTTAATATTTCTATAAAATAGTAGATATTATTCCTCAAATTCACATGCTTGAGCTAGAATTTATTTCACTTTTATCTGCTTTTACAGTTAGACGTTATTTAATTTATTAACATCTATCTATCTTGTACTGCATATTAACTGCTTATTAATTCTGTAATCGAGAGAGGCAGAAGAAATAATATAGTTAAATGTAGTATTGATAAATGTTAATATTTATTCAGTAACATCTATCTCTTTTATGTTATAATTAATTTTACACTTATTTGTAATCGAGAGAGGCGAATAGTGTAATAATCAGTTATAACAAGTAGGGTAACCGAAAGGGACTTAATAACAAGAGCGTATTTTAGTTCAATCCAATTTCTAGTTCTTTAATATTACTAGTTTAAGATTAATTTGTATAACCGAGAGGAGTGCAATTGATTATTCAACTTAAGTAATAATATATATTTGTAATCGTGAGAGGCATTTATACATTTTTGAGAAATAGAAATTGAAGAATATAATTCTACTATATAATAGAAATATTAAGTGAAGTCAAGATCCCAACACCTTTTAATTATATTTGTGAAAAACAAAATATTTTCTACTGCTCTATGTATGCATTTTTAGTTAGTTAATTTACAACTCAACTCTTTCTGATTTTCTCAAATAGTAATTAAAACAAGAAACGTCTGTAGAATAGATAAACCAATCTCTGTGAGTTCGACATCTTTCTATACTATTATTTGACAGAGTACGAGTTTAATTTATACACACGCCAGACTCTCATCAGGCCCTCGCAAACCTTGTTAGTAACTTGAAAGTGCGTAGTTGCTTTAGGCGCGCTATTTTTAAATTAATTTTCTAAATTCGAGTGTGCATTTCATGTGACCCAACTCCAATTCTCAACAACGTTAAATAAAATGTGTCGTGGACCGCGGGTGCATTTCATGTGGCGTGGTTCAAGATGTGTTTTAGATAACGTTAAATCTTCTTAAAAATAATTAAAAGCGGCTAATAAGTTAAATTGAACCATAGGCTAAAACATGTATTAAAATAAGATAATAGGCCAATATTTTAAGCGACCGTGCTCGAACCACGAAACCCGGGAATGCCTAACACCTTCTCCCGGGTTAACAGAATTCCTTACCCGGATTTCGGTGTTCGCGGACTGTAAAACAGAGTCAATATTTCCTCGATTCGGGATTTAAAACTGGTGACTTGGGACACCATAAACTATCCCAAGTGGAGACTCTGAATCTTAAATAAATAATCCCGTTTCGATTGTCACTTAAATTGGAAAAAACTCCCTTATACCCTTGCGGGGGTAGGAAAAAGGAGGTGTGACAGTCTTATCATAAGTACTGGAGATGTGCTTGGATGAAAAGGGTGCCAAGTCTACTTTCATAACTTCCAGAATATGAGAGATAAGAAGACCAAAGGGCAGACATGCAGCAGAAGAGGAAATATCCTTGATACTCTCAAGCATATATTGACAAATCCACACAAACCTGTCAAGACACTTACTATTAACCAGACAGTAGAGGACAAAAACATCTCTAATTTACAAGGAACTAAGGGACCCAGATCTGGGAAGGAGAGTGGTGGCAATCATATGGGCCAAGACACGGTGTTCAAACTTAAGATTTTTGGGGCCAATGTCAAGGGGTTATCAGACAGAAAACTTTTTGCTTCATCAAAGGACACTTCAAAGTCTTTGGGCCAAGAATTTTGGTCAAACACATCATGCCCACTAAAGTTGGCGGAAAAGATCTTTTCAAATTGGTAGGAGTCCAAAACAATTCTAGTCCCTAAAGCCATAGATTCCAAATCATCTTTATCATTCACAAATAGATTTGCATAAAACATTCGCACAGGTTCTTCATACACAGTATTTCCAAGAGTGTCAAATAGAGGGAAAGGTGCTGAAAATCGAAAATTGCAATCACATCACAATGAAGGCTTTTCATAAGAGAAATACTTACAGAGCGTGCATAAGCCATGGATTTTGACTTGTAGGACTCAAACCTCACCTTTTCACTGGGGCCATAAAAGATTAGCTTGTCTTCAGGACCAAACTCCGAACGTTCCACCTATAGAGGAAGGTTGTAGACTGAATGAAAGGGAGTTAATTTTATTAATGAAGCAGTAGCTCTTTATATAGAGCAAAATTACAACAATAAATCTTCTGGAAGATACAGATACATACAACCTAACAAACTCCTAAGGAAAAGGCTAACAAAAAGATACAGAAAAGATACAGATAAGGGCTATGTTAATGGATAAGGTTGAATCAGTTAAGAGTCCTTTACACGCCCCCGCAAGGTGGGGCTGGTGTCAACCAGATCCAACTTGGGATACATACGTAGAAATGCAGAGCTGGGCACCAGCTTCGTAAGAATATCTGCAACTTGATATGCAGCATGAAGGTGATGGACCTCGAGAGCCTTAGACTGCAAAAGCTGACGAACAAAGTGGAAATCTATCTCAATATGTTTCATACGGCTATGAAAAGCTGGATTGGCACAAATGTAAGTAGTGCTCATGTTGTCGCAGAGAATGCGAGGAGAACTGGATAGTGGTAAGTGAAGCTCACGAAGCAAGTTTTTGAGCCAGACAACTTCAGAGGTTGTAGCTGCAACAGCTCTGTATTCAGCCTCAGTAGATGACCGACAAAACAAAACGTTGCTTCTTAAAAGACCATGAGATAGGAGAATCACCAAGATATACAACATACCCTGTTATAGAGGTTCGATCAAGTGGGTCACCAGCCCAATCCAAATCAGAATAGGCAACTAATTGAGCAACAGATTTTTTAGCAAGCTTAATACCAAGATGAGCAGTGTGACAAAGATATCTCAGAAGACGCTTGACAGCTTTCAAGTGAGAAACACCTGGTTGATGCATAAATTGAGATAATTTGCTTACTGCAAAGGCAATGTCAGGACGAGTAAAGGATAAATAATGAAGCTTTCCAATGACTCGGCGATAAAGAGTGCCATCCACTTTGGAATCCTCACGAGATGTTTCAAAGGTACATGTAGAGGTCATGGGTGTGGGAGCGCCTTTGCATTCAACCATGTTAACATCTTGGAGAAGATCTTTGACATATTTATGCTGAGATAAGAGCAAACCATCTGATGTGTGCGTAACCTCAACGCCACGAAAGTAATGAATCAACCCAAGATCTTTAAGAGAGAACCATGAAGACAGAGCATTAATATTAGATTTCATAGCAGGTGGCTGGTTACCAGTCACAATGATATGATCCATGTAAACTAGGATGTACATAGTAACTCCAAGCTTATGAAGAATAAAAAGAGATGCA